GTGTTTTTTTTTCTCCCCCCCCCCCCCCCCCCCCCCCAGTCACTGCATTCTGAAATAGCACAGACCAGGTTGAAGGAAATTTATGAATTCCAGGGAAATTGACATTGGTTGAAAGCCCTTGCTGAAGTGCAGTGTCTTCAGTCTGCCAGATAAAATATGCAAATGATTTGCACAGTCACTCAGTCATATTGTCTTGATTTAAGTGAGGAGCATGCAATTGTCAGAGCCAGTTTGTGAGAAAGTAAAAAAAAGCTTCATTCACTTATGAAATGTTTACTCCAGTGCTTAAAGATTAAGTGAAATTGGAGTTTTTCTCTAATCATTTTTGTCTGTCTATAAAAGTGTAACTCTTATAACTTATTAAAGATGATGATTAAAAACATATGTAGAAACAAACATGAAGAAAACTCTCCAAATGATCTGAATTAGTGAAAAATGCAGCCATGTCCTCAATTTTACTGTTGCCATGATGTTACAGAGTCGAAGTTGCAACTTGGTTTTAAGGTCTAATCTGCCCTCTAGTGACAGGAAATTGTATGTTGCCTTGCTGCACCATTTGTGTTGAGAGTTTGTTGTTGATTTTATTTACCTCCTAATGTCTGTCTGTTCTCCCTAAACAAGTGAAACCCTGCTGGTATCATGGTTTATTTCAGGATGTGTTTCTCACCTGTCTGGAGCTCAGGGGCTGCACTGGCTTAAGAAAGTACAGTTAATATTTATACTATGTTAAAATTAACAAGTATAAAGAACATTTTAGCAATGATGGGCAGAGAAACAGGAAGAAATCTCCCACAGATCCAGCTCAGTGTTGCTGCTGTTGCCTCAGCAAAAGAGCCCCCTCTATTGGATTAAATGATATACTGTATACTGGCGTATCATAATTTGTGCATTTCAAGGCTATCACTTAGATTAGAACAACTTTTATACTTGTACTAATTAATACTTTATACTTACTATTACTTATAAAATATAATAGTTTTAAGTCTAATCAAAGCCATCTTTGATCCACGTAAAGGTAAATAATTACTCAGCACTGATACTCAGTCCCTTAAGTAAAAGTTAAGTCATAATTAAAATATTTATGGTGCTGCCCTCCTGCCAACAGCTTACACCATGTATAATAGGGGTCAATGAGTGGCGTTGACACCCTACATGTCTCTGCAGTGGCTTCCCCGATACTGCGTCTGCTGCATGTGTACTAGTGCACTTTCCGGTAGAGGGCAGTGGTGCTTAACTGACTGATTGCTATAGCTCGAGAGGACGGGAGTGCAGTATTTCTAACTGGTTTTATAAATGCTATATAGTGGGATAATAACTAAAACAATTATTCCTACATATATATATAAATAAATTATGCAGAATCCTGTTCTGGTGCTATGAATTCACAATTTTATTTCCTTAGTCCGTCACAGAAAATGATCAGATGGACATCACTCACCCCCACACACTGGCACTCACTCACTCACTCACTCACTCTCTCTCTCTCTCTCTCACTCACTCTCACTCTCACTCACTCTCACTCACTCACACTCACTCACTGCAAATGTCCGATCCCTTGTGCTGTTTTCTACCTTCAAACCAATAACGTCCATTATAACTTAAAAAAATAATTTAAATAAAAAAACATTTATTCTCAGACTGAAGAAAAGTAACGCAGGCCTTTTCAGAGTTTGTTCTTCCAGAGGAAGGAGTCATTGTTCATCACTTTGGCCAACTTCATATTGAACGGCGTGTGAAATTCTTGCAAAATCTTTTTAGTGGTGGACAACATGGGTCCCAGGTTTTTGTCCGCTGGCTTCCTGGTGTTTGACGCTGGATTTTTCATGATCTTTGTCTCCAGTTCTTTTGTTAGTGGCCCTGTAAGAAACATTATGGGATGAGTCAGAAAATCAGAGCCCCTGTCGAGGCCTTGATTATACACAATCCAAGTCACGTGTTAGCATTTGGAGCTCACTCACCAAGGTTGAGAAAATGAAAGATGTTTTGCATGGTGTATTTCCTGTTGGAGGCGTGGTCTTCCAACCTCAGGACCAAAATCTGTTCCCAGCTGACCACTGTCAGCCAGTCTATCAGATACACAATGTACAGGCCAACATGCAGTCTGACCTGAACGATCAAAGTGGGAGGAAAAAAGGGTCAATAAGAGACAATAAGTCAGTCCAAGAATCTTTAGTCACAGCTGAGACATCTTTGATGTTGTTGTTAATGGATGCCTGGAGGAGTGGCTGGTTGTCCTGTATCTCACACATGCATTCAGCTTCTTAATGTATCATGTGAGCAGGTGAACATGTGCTTAAGTCATGAGGAAGATGAAGACTTGTTAGATAAAGGCAGATTCTTTCGGCAGAAAGACGTTTTCAAAGTGGCCTTTGTTTGTGTTTTTTTTTTTTTCTGCGTCCAAGAATTTTTGTTGAGTTCTTCAAGCAGTCACATTTGCACGCCTGAGGTTACACTGACCTCTCTGACTCAGTGTCCGCACAAACAAACCTAACGTCCATTTAGAGTTCTATCTATTAGAGCTGCGTTCCACAACGACGCTCCAAACCAAATTGACGGTTGCTCTCTGGTTGTGTTTGGCTGATGGGAGGATCTCTGGTTTAGTTGCTTATAAACTCAAGATTTCTGGATTAGAGAATTAAAAGCCTTGAGGGGATTTTTATAGACACAACAATGTCTGCTTAACTTAGTGGAGATCTTTATACAACATGTGTGATGATAGAGGGGGGAAAATCTACTATTTATCACCGGTTTCAAATTCCAGACTTGGCAATTGCAAACAAATATTCACAGAAATATTTAAATATTTTCAAGAGAGTCAAACATTGAGTTTCAAACATTGCCAAGATTTTTTTGTCAACACAAATATGAGACCTGATGTTAGAATAGAAATGTTTGGCCTTAAGAAGAATGTAGATGAAAACTAATAATGTGAATTGAATAATATTTTTTATTTTTCATTTTACATTCATCAGGCACTTTATTTTGAAAGTTGTTGAACTGAGGAAAGAACTTGTGTCTAAGTGCAGTTCGTTGGAAATGTTTTGGAATTACTGTTTATAAGAATAACATTTCGTGGAGAAGAACTCCTTACTTGGTGTATATGCTGTCAGTTAAAGGGAAATTAGAATCAGCAGAGTTCATTATCGGCAAGTATTGGTTCATCTCTATAAGTAACTTGATTTTAAAACTTTTAGGAAAAACTTTCTTTATATCCTTGAGGGTTTATTTTCCTTCTAAACGCTTGTCAAGGAGCTGTAGGTTCGAGAGTCTGCTGTAAAGACAGCTGTAATACGTTACACAAGGTCTAATAACTCTACAGGGTTATTAGTGGACGGACAATTAGGCCAGCAGCAGAGAGTACGCACGCTCCCTCAGGGCCTGAAAGCTTGTCACTGGCAGATGAAGAAGGGACTCTTTTATAATAGACATCCGTCTGAAGGGGGAGCCAAAAGGGGACAGTCCACACCCCTCCTCCTGTCTGAAAACACCGGGGGGAAAGCCGGTCGGGGCCCCCGTGTGCTGGCTGTCTGCTTTGTGAGTGTTGAGAAGGCTGGTAAATTGGGTTTTTCAGGACAAAGCGAGGCCTCAGACACAGCGCCATTCAGTTTCCCTCTACTCTTTTGCCAGTCTCTTTCACATGGCCAGTGTTAGCATGTAATAATGAGGTGTGAGTTTCTTGTTCAGAAGTCCGTGTGTGTGTTGGGGGGGGGGGGTCGGGTAGCAGGTACTCACTGGCATTGAGGTGGTGACAGTTATGTTGTAGACACAGGAGCGCAGTGAGTACTCTGTAAGGCACCCGTCGAATATCTGCAACGACTCTGACACCTTGTCATGGAAATCTTCTGCCGATTTGTTGGTGTTGCCAAAATAAAGGTAGTCGGAGTACAACCTGCAAGACAACAGAGAGGGTTTATTAGTACAAAAAAAATTATTCTTTCTTTTAATTCTTCCCACTTTTTTGCTCGAATTTAATACAACATATGGCACTATATATGTATATTTTTAAATATATATATAAATACATATATGTATATATGTGTATTTTTATATATGCCTATATATAAATATATACATATAATATATAAATCATTTTATTATACTTATAAAACATTACAAATACCATGGTTGTTAAAAAAAAATCCAGGAGAAATGACTATCTACTGCATGAACTGTTAAAGAAATGCCCCACAGGCATTTGCACTAAGTTATGCTGATGTCTGATAAAGATGTCATAACAAAACTAATGTGACGCCCAGGCTGTGTTAAAGGCAACAAATCTTCTCCGGCAACTGGTCTTTTGTTGCCTATGAACAATAAAAGTAGCAGCCAGTGCCTGCAGCATAAACAGCTATGATGGAACCACCAGGCTGGAAATCCAAGTCAGGGTGGGCCACAAAAATCTGGAGGTGAATAAATGGAACTGCTGTACGCCATCAGTTTTCATCTGCCTGGCTTTTGTAGTGTCAGTTTCTT